TTACAGAATGAAATGAAATACGCAAAAACTAGCCATGAAGAAGTCTATGCTATGTCATGCAGTATAGTTAAATTTTCACAAATCATGCTATAAACTTTCATAAGAGCACTAGACAAAGTTATTGTAGTTATGTATTGTTGCAATAAACAACTGATAAAATTATCCACCCTTAAATATAGTAAAGTATTAACATATTTTAATGCAATAAATAGGGTATGATTTAAAAATAATCATCCCTCCAAAACAGAGAAAACATGTCTGTCTCCTTTTAAAGTGTTTATAGTGTATATAATGAGTTGTATTTGTAGGGGTTATTATATCACCAGTCAAATCGGGGTGTCGGATCTGTATGGCTGTTTGACCCTAAAGTTCATTATTTTACTTTATAAAGAATAAATTATTCTTTGCTTCAGAAGGCCTTTATTAACCCACCAGAGCCATGTTGAGTATGTTTATGATGGATGGATGCACTTTTTTGAGCTTCAAACTCATGGCACCCATTCACTGCCATTATAAAGCCTGGAAGACCTCACTAATTTTCAAAGTCTGGGACGGCCATGTTTGTGTCCCCTTTAAAAATTGCTCTTGAGAAATTTTATGTTTATCGTCCCCCTCTACTGTTAGACGAAATTTACGCCCCTGTGTAGTTGCAATAAATGCATTAAGAATCCGTAGGACTTCAGCAGTGGAGGACTATTATTCTGCTGCACGATACTGTGGAAGAACTGATGACGGCACGGTTTGATCTTTGGCAGAAAGGGGTGTTTGATTCCCGCCCTCGCGTAGAAATCGAATATTCAAGCTATTTATTAATTTTTCCACCCCTGAATGAAAAACGAAAATTTAAGATGAATTAAAAATGATAAAGGCTTCCACCACTGCTTATCATCCTCCAACACCTTAAAACACGCATCCTTCAGAACACAACTTGTATTGCACCAAATTTAGCAAGTGCTTTTTGTCAAAGGAATGTGCATAGCAGCAAAGATCAGCTCATCTTTTGGGAATTTGATGAGAAATGTTAGTTCATAATGAGATCTCTGACTTTTGAGACAATTTAAGACTGATTTGAGAGGAAACAATTTTCTCAGGAGAATCATCTCCATTAGAGCTCAATTTAATCTCATTGCTGTCTTTGAGAAGCACTTGAGATGTTAAATGTGATTTTTCACAGTCTTCATACTCAGGCCCGTAACCAGCTATGATGATGTTCAAAAATAAACTTTGTTCTTTGACTAATTTGCTGTTAAACTCCTCATATGAATGCCTGCATGACATGTATAATTCAGTTTAGACAGTTTGCAAGAATGTTTAGTGTCCCTGTTATGAAAATGATCGCTGCGGAGTGAACGAGGCTTGAGAGAGTTGTGAGTGAAGGCGCGGGCGCAGCTATTATAAGCGTTTTTGGACTTGTCTTTTCCACTTAATTTAACACTTTAGAAAGTTAATAAAATAGGAAGTTGCAGTTTAGAGTCAGCGATATCTTTATCTTTTCTTATTTCCAAAAGATTGGAAATAGTTTCGGTTTATTTTTTTGTTTAAGTATCAATATCTGGCAACACTGCATCACCGGCACTTAAAACTGAAAGCAATCAAAAAAGCCCATGGACAGGTTTTTGCTGACAGGATATGATAATTCAATATGATCATATCTAAGTTAATTCAGTCAAGTGAAAATTATCATGATATTATCTGTCATAAACGTTATCAACGCTGTCAAAAACAGTAGCATTTAACACTAGTACACACAGATCTGTAGAACAAGTAGATTACAGAATGAAATGAAATACGCAAAAACTAGCCATGAAGAAGTCTATGCTATGTCATGCAGTATAGTTAAATTTTCACAAATCATGCTATAAACTTTCATAAGAGCACTAGACAAAGTTATTGTAGTTATGTATTGTTGCAATAAACAACTGATAAAATTATCCACCCTTAAATATAGTAAAGTATTAACATATTTTAATGCAATAAATAGGGTATGATTTAAAAATAATCATCCCTCCAAAACAGAGAAAACATGTCTGTCTCCTTTTAAAGTGTTTATAGTGTATATAATGAGTTGTATTTGTAGGGGTTATTATATCACCAGTCAAATCGGGGTGTCGGATCTGTATGGCTGTTTGACCCTAAAGTTCATTATTTTACTTTATAAAGAATAAATTATTCTTTGCTTCAGAAGGCCTTTATTAACCCACCAGAGCCATGTTGAGTATGTTTATGATGGATGGATGCACTTTTTTGAGCTTCAAACTCATGGCACCCATTCACTGCCATTATAAAGCCTGGAAGACCTCACTAATTTTCAAAGTCTGGGTATGGCCATGTTCATACCTCCAGAATTTCATCCTGAAGCACCGACAGCTCGTTTACGTTACGTGCCACAAAGTGGTAGCGGATCTTTGCATACTTGCGAGAAGCAGGAGACGTTGAGAAAGACCTGGAAAAAACATGAGCGCAACAAGCTGATCAGAAACAAAATCTTCACATGGAGCGAAAGTCATTCAGCATTCCCTTTACCATTACCATCACACTGAAAGGGGCAGGTTGCCACAATGATTTTGGAACTATCAAAAGAAAATGAAAAGGAATCTTGCCATTTAATATAAAATATGCTATTTAATAAAGTGCTGCAGGGATGTTGTATTTTTGTAGGCCAAAACCCAGAAATGAGTTTGAATTTTAGCACTTCTGGTTCCATCGTCCTTAAGTCAATGGGTTTTTTGAATGGGACTTTGGGTTAAAGGACTCTCTCATGTCATTCCAAACCTGTAAGACCTTTGTTCATCTTCGGAACACAAATTAAGATATTTATGATGAAATCGGAGAGCTCTCTGACCCTCCATAGACAGCAAGGGTACTACCACGATCAACGCGCACAAACGTAGTAGGATATCGTTAAAATAGTTCATGTGACAACTGTAATTTTATGAAGCTACGAAAATACTTTTTGTGTGCAAAGAAAAACAAAAATAACCATTTTATTCGACAATTTCTTCCCCTTCAGTCAGTCTCCGCCATTCATGAGAGTACCACGATGCATGCACAGGTCTATCAAAAATATCTTCATTTGTGTTCCGAAGATGAACGAAGGTCTTATGGGTTTGAAACAACATGAGGGTGAGTAATTAATGACAGAATTTTAATTTTTGGGTGAACTATCCCTTTAAATGCCTGAAATAAGGTTTGTTTGTTTTCATGTTTTATTCTACAAAATATAATGCATCAGTATTCCCTCTTTGATTTTAAAAGCTTTTACTTGTCTTGAACAAGGCGGTTGCAAAAAAGATTAAATGTCAACACACCGAACCGGTGAACTCATCTAGTCGCTCTATAATCGCTGTAATAAAACTACTCGAACTCAAACTTTCAGGGAAAATGTTTTTAAACAAAGACCAAAAATGTTGAGGGAAGCTAAATAGAGGTGACGTTAAAGTCACGTGACTTCACTTATAGCCTGTGTTTAGCTTTTTACTTTTGGCAAAGGTATTTAGGCTTCAAAAGTTATCTGTCGTGATGATTATCATGATTAAAATATGTAGGAATCAAAGTTTTGTTGGTTACACATCTTATTTTCTGCAACAATCCAAAAGCCAATAGAAAAATGCTATTGGGTTTTTGATGAGGGAACCAGGGTGATGGGAATTTATGAAAAAATTATAAAACACCAAATTCGTGGAATGCCATTGTTTTGGCCCAATGAAATTGTAATTAATAAAATGTATGTCTTTGCATTAGCATTAAGGTTTTGGTCTGTAGTACTTTTAATAAATTTCTAAAAAAAAAAAGGATACATATAACAACATAAAATATAATATACTAATTACTTATACAATGACATAGCTCAGCCAGAATTGAGATAAATCTGCCCATTTTGGGGTGTCCTCAAATTTAAGTCCTCAAATGTTCTTTGTATTTGTATTTTTTTTTATTTAATTTTTTTAATCCAAAAAGTTGTCTTTTAGCAATAACATTAGCATTTATTTATATTTTATTTGCATTTTTAATTGTCTTTATTTATTTATTTATTTTGTTTGCAATTTTAATTCTTTTTTATTATTATTATTAAATCCAAAAAGTTGACTTTTAGCGGTAACATGAGCATTTATTTAGTCTGACGTAATTCTAAGCATCAATTTCTATAATAAAAGCAACAGAAGTTTATGGTGTGTTTTTATTTTGTGCATGTGTTCAGTTCCTCACCAGTTCCAGAGGTCCAAACAGGAAGTGCACGAGCTCTGCAGCGGTAGGGTTCTGGATGTGTTTCTTCAATTTGGCCTGTAGAGGGCGCACACAGACAGTCAACACACTTCACTCACTCACATTATGGGCCTCTTTCATGAAACAGCAGAAATAAAGTTGCATGCAGTTCTTACATAAATTGTCACTTAAACTAAAAACAACCCATTTTTTGTTTATAACGAAATTTGCTCTTGTTTTTTTCAGCATGTCATAAAATGTTTACATTCGAGTGCAAATATTCCAGATGATCTTTTAAATAAAACCACAGCAGTTTTGCATGAGTTAAAACATTGTTTTTTTATGTTTAAAGGCTTTTTTTCAGTTTAGGAACAATGCGATACAGGCTAAACCCACCAGCAGATTGAAAGAGAGTTTCAGCTTCTGAAGACAGTCGATAAACTCGCCTTCTGATGGAGGTTTAGCTCGTAGTGTTAGCATTCCCTCTAAAACACACACACATGAGAACCATGTTTGTATAGCAAAGCATGTAAATGTATTTACACGTGTTGCTTTCCTAAGCATAACTAGCTAATAAGTGCTTTGTTGAATGAATAAACGAATGCTGCATTAAATGAAATGCATATGTACCTGCCGGTCCTCTCTTTTTGTTTTTCTTGCTCCTGTTGCGCTGGTTGAGTTGCGCGAAAGCCTCTGCTGCTTTGTGAAGACGTGCAACGAAGATCTCGATGTCGTCTAGAGTGCAGTTCAGGATTTGCTGAATGACACACACAGAGTGAAAACACACGGCCTGAGTTACAGCGTTACGTCTGGTCTGATGTAACCACGAATCTGATGCACTAAATGATTGACTGTGTTTTACGTGTGTGTGTGTGGATATCTCTTGTTATGCAGGCACTCACCACGTCCTTTTCGATCCGCTGGGCCAGTTTCATATTGGACTCGGGGTCCTGCATCGACAGTTCATCTGAGACAAACATGCAGAGTATTTACAATCCATGCATTTACTATAAAGATAAGCATATAGGCATTTTGCATCTGTGTGTTTGGCACCTTTCATGTCCGTAGCTGCTACGCGACCCTTGACCCCAGGGCCAGGATTTCTAGGCTCAGAGGCCGGGATGATGCTCTCCCGTTGGTGTTTCATCTTTTCTTGGTTCATCCTGGTGTAGAGGAGAGAGAAAATGCCTGTGCTCAAAAACTTAGTTTGCAGCCTACGTAGGAAGTATTTTAAGTATTTCAGTCTGCCTTAGTATTTTAAGGCAGACTGAAAGGTAGTTAGCAACTTTAAACATAGATAATTTTGGCAAAGTTTAGAATTTGCCCGAAATTACCCTTGTCAGCAAGTATAATTTGTTGAGAATGCAATCCCTTAATGCAATGTGACGAGCTCAGATGGTGGAGAATGCGGGCAATGTCAATTATAAACTTTTATACACTTATAAATTATAAACTAATCAATTAATTCAGTACTAAAAAGAATCCAAGTTGGTCTAATCTAATTCAAAACTGACTAGCAACACCTTTACAACCATTTAGTAACGCCCTTAACCCACTCAAACACCCCAAAAACCACCTAGAAGTGCCCTTGACCCTGCAAAGCCTGACATATAGGGCTGTAACGATTCACTCGTTTTCTCGATGCATCGATTACAAATCTTGACAATGCAATGCATCGATCTTGCAACATGGATTTTTGAATCGCCGATTTCAGACAGTAATTGTTTAAAACGCTAAAAATCGAATGAATCGTGATTTCTATAGCGATTCAATGCTTTCAAAATATATACACATTAAATTACTACAAGCACGATTTAATGGAAACCTTGAACAGTGTTCGTGCCCTCGCATCTCTCCTTCATGCGTTCCACTATTTACCGCCTGAGACTGTCACAGGATTGCGCTCGCGCTCTGTTCGTCTCACTGACACATTTTTTGAGCAGCTGATGTGTGATC